ACAATTTCCTTTTGTAAAGCACAAGTGTCCCATCACTTTTGTGAGACACTGTAAGCTTTTGCTATGAAAAGTTAGATTTCGTATTTTTTACATTTTCCAATTTAAAATGCCTTAATCTGAATAATTTCGACATTTACAGAGCTTTTATACCTGGATGTATATATCTACGGTCAATGGCTGTGAAACCAAAGTCTACATAAGTATTTCTGTGCACATAGTACATATAATAACACAGTTCCATTTGTCTCCTTTGTTTGTAGAAAATAACCCAAAAGTAGACCTGAAGATGTTGTTTAGCTACCTTAAACCTTTGCCTTTAAAGAAAACGAGAAATTTAGATTTGTTTCATTATGTAGTTGTTGTGACTTACATCACTTGTCTGAGAGTAACATCAGAAAAATCCCACGAAATTTCTCTTGGCAAGGAGTGCAAGATTACGCCTGTCGTTGGCAAGAGCCTTGAGCACGATACAGGTGATAGAACTACTTTGCTCAGTTCCCCCTACCATCAACATTTCGAGAGGACTTTCGGCTCGCCGCATATTTTTTGAGCCCCAGTGCCGCACAGACACTATACATTTACAAACATCCAGGCCTTCTCCGAGATTCGGATCCAGACCCTTGGGTACGGCAATCAGCGTCGCTAACCATTATCCCAGTCGGGCGCCTTATTTTTATTCTACGTATTTAAACAAAAAATTTTATTTTAAATAATCCATTACATTTAAGTACACATCATATTTAGAAACTCCTAACAAAGAATGTGAAAAGGTTTTTAACTGCTTAGTAAGGTGAGACTTCAAAATGAATCCAGACAAAACAGCCCACGACAAGATAGCCTAAATATAACTATAAATATCCTTATTTATAAATTCCTTTTTAAGAACGTTTTATGTGAATATCGACTTTTTATATCATTATATGAAATTCAAATCCAGTTTTAACATCTAAAAATAAATAAAAATATTTTCTATACTGCATATACCTTTTTAAATAAAAACAAGGTACGTGAAAAACAACAAAACCAGCGTTTGCTGACACTCATATTTTAAGATTATTGCGATTACTTAGATATTTTTCCGCGTATACTCAACACTTTTTAACGCAAAACGTGTAAATCTTCTGTAAATTATATAGCACTTAGAAATTAGCTTATACCCAATAGAATAGTAAACTTTTGTATGCCGCAGTATGTGGAAATTATTACTACCGCACCCTACTTAACAAATAGTAGTGCAACTTGTTTTAATAAGCCAACATATGTAAACCAGCATATATGCTGACCTACCAGCGAGCATGTATAATGCATGCAAGATGCAATAATAATAATATATGCAATTTAAAATACGCACACAATATGTAATTCCTGATTTATGCATACAGGCTCTGTTTTATATCTCCTGCATATATTAAAATACTAAAAATTAAAAAACTATTCGAAGGACCCATTTCAAAAGCCACTAGGAAGCACTCTGTCATGGGCTGTTTCGCAGAATGGGTTATTTTGCCGTGGGCCGTTTTGCCCGGCTTAACACATAACATCATATTCTTGTAATTATTTCGTTTTGTACAGCATTTTTGCATAGTAGTACTGTAACATCCTAGCTAAATCAGAAGTCCTTGAGGACTAGAATATTGAAGAACTGTGTAGTGACTATTTGCTGAGTATTAAGTAAGTAGTCCATAAATGGTTAAATTCACCCTTTATTCCAACTCAAATTAAGGTAACATATGGCTCCTTCTCGAGCTTACAATAAGCCTCCACTTGAGCTTCAACTCAAGATAGAAAATAAGAAAACAACCTAATCCTAACTAAGATAAGCCAGACGAAGCTGCATATAATTAACTAACAGAGATAGCCCTTATTTAAGATCACCAGCATATACTAACAGGCATATAAAAATGAGGCAGAATAACACTAAAATTGGACTAGCAGCAACAACGTGGCCGAACGAAAAGGCAGAACACTCTCTCTTCTACGCTTTTTTAGCGAAATCACCCAGACTTCAGCTTAAATACTTGTCTGTACCTCATTTACTTGAAACGTAATCCCGAAAACTCTTTCTGGCAATGATTTTCGGGGCTAGGGGCGTAGGGTATTCTAGCGTAGGGAGGGGGGAAATTAGAACGTAAATGAAAGGCTTGTTCCAAAAAAAAAGCAACTATCAGAAAATTAAATAAACCTTATAGTACGATGCTGCAAATAACGCATGAGAGATGCACTTTCTGTGCCAAAAAATTACAATAAGGTATAAGATATAAAACTTTAAAAATAAAGTTTAAATAAAAAGAGAAAGAAAAAAGTTTTCGTAATGCCGATTAAATCATTGCACTCATAAGCTTTGTTTCACATGGGGTTTTATATCACTTGGCGTCTTAATCTTTATCCATTAAAATTTTTATCTTAGGGAGAAGTATAAGTACACAGATATTAACTGCATTCACAAACTCGCAGTTGAGAATTTTATCTTTCAAGTTGTGTCATACATTTTACTTGACGCCAAATTCAAATTTTAAAGCTATTTACGGATGTATGTTGCAAATGAAGATCCGTGTTTTCATCGCATATTTTCAGTTCATGATACGAGAATATGACCACAAATTTTAGTTTTTTTTTTTTTTTTTTTTTTTTTTTTTTTTTTTTTTTTTTTTTTTTTTTTTTTTTTTTTTTTTTCAAATTAAGCATTTATGCTAAAGAAAAGTTATTTCGGTGCTTACTGCATAAGTGTATATTCGAGCATATGCATAAAGAATGCACTCTTGGTTATGTAGATTTAGATGGATACTTAAATTATCCCCTATTGAAGTGTCAGAAATTACTTAATTAAATTACTTATGAATTATGACTTGATTCCATTAAATTTAAATCTAAGCCATTTGAATCAATTACATGGAAACAATTTTACTATTATCTTCAAAAGTATGAAAATATTGTCACGTGCGTACGGGTTCGTAATGGATTGAATGCACAAGTCGATAAAAATTTAATAAAATTTATTCGTATTCCAAGAAATAAAACAGAATGTTGAAATTTCCTTTAGATATTCAAACCATATCACAATATTTCACAGTAGTTATATTTTAAACTACTAAAATGTTAAACAGAACGCAATTCAAAACAAAGAAAGCTAATCCGATCTCACCGCGAATTCGCAACAATCGGCAACAAGAACTAAGTAAACAACTGAACTGAGATGTTTCTGTCCGTCTTTTTAAAGCTTTTTAATCGTGCACGAGAACATTCTGGCAATTTTATTTTTCTCGAGGTTTCTGGAAAGCAAACGACTACAATTACGAGATATCTATGTATTAAATATTAAATGCGCGTGCTCCTGTATTTTAACTTTTCCGGTGTAGCTTTCTCTTCAAATAAGTCTCGTGTTGCATTCTAAGGGAATATAAAACAATTTAATAACAATTCTACTAAAAATAGCAAAATAAATACAAAAACCGTAGCAATATCTATTTTGTGATTTAGCTCAAACTGCGTGATATAAATCATCCATTTAGCAACAGGATATTTTATTTAAAATTTGTTTTAAAAAACTGATGTGTTAGCTTCATGTTTACAGTAATGTTTCTCAAAGTGCCGTATATTGGCTTATTTAAATACTAGAAAGCCCGCGGTGATACGAAATGACCACTGTTCTAGATATTATAAATTGTAATTAAAATGATTTGTTCAAAGGTGTCTTAATTCAAACTGAATTACCTAGGGCAGGCGGCGAGGACGCCCTTTTGCTTACTGCCCCACGGGGTTTTCCCCTTCTACTTTTTTAATTGCTTAGAGTGCAATGAAGGAAACCACTGGCGGTACATTTCTTAAGAGCAACCGTTAACTCAATAAATAAAGGTGATTTAAATAATAAAATGTTAATTCACATGTCAAAGATCTCTTTGTGCACAACATTTCTTGTGTAGATATTTCCATCATTTTTAAGCTCGCCTTGCAGAGGGCCATCAGTTATTTATTTTAAATCTTACGTCCATTCTTTCACGAACTCTTGAACATGCAACATGAAGTTGACCGTGTCCAAATGCAGGACTCAGGTAAAAAAAAATGCCAAAGCGCTTAAGCGTTTGGGTCCTGAGACTTATTAATGGTCATAGCAAAGGCAAGTTTTACAGGTAAATTGTCTACGTCTCAATTGAAACGGCAAAACTGTGCCGTGGCAACTTCACCCCATTGGCTAGTACAGTTACGCAAGCAACCAATAAACTATAGGCGACAGACAGACACTTAAGCCCGCATATATATATATATGGGGAGAAGTAACATCATCTCCTTCGAAACGGCTGGCTCCCGGGCTTACCGTTGGATTCCGCAGGTCGGTGGCACGCCATTTTGACCATTCGCGTGTTCGTGGGACTTTAGTTAGCCGAGATATTAATTAAAAACTAATTTTCCCCTACGTTTTCCACTTTCTTTCTTGGGTTTTCCCCATTAGAGGGATTTGGCTACGTGCCAAATTCTTTTTTCTCGAATATCTACGGAACGGCGCCGAGCTGAAATTCGAGACGCGTATCCTCGGATTCCAAAAAATTCTCCGAATCCATCGATACCGTTCTCATCTTCGTACGTCTTTAATCGGCCAAGATATTAATTAAAAACTTCGGAAAAGTTAATTTCCGTGCTCATTTTTCCGAGTGGACAACAATAAACTATCGGCGACAAACACTTAAGCCGCTTATATATATAAAGATAGATTACATTTCAAAAATTTGATAACACCGATGAAAATATATTTAGTAAAGAGTTCGAAATCCATTTATTAAATTTGTCCCATTGTTTTCTTATAATGTTTAAAGAAAATTTTTCATCCTTCAGTTTGTTAGATTTGCTCAAACCGATGAAACTATTTCTGCTATAGTTTTCAATGTTTTTAAATTTCAAAAAAGCAATTTTCTGTCGTTTTAAAACTTTTAACAAAAGCTGTTACTGTACAGTTTCAAGCTAATATGAAATTTCTGTTTGATATGTGAATATAAAGCAACCTCATATTTTTGTAGAATTTGAATAGTAAATTTTATTTGTAAACTATATTTTAATTACAAAGACAAACTTTAATGTAGTCTTAAATATGACATTATAGTAAACAAGTATAACTATATATCATAATATAAAGTTCTTCATAGTTTGTTTTTCACATTAAGATCCCCCTTTTTTTTTTTTTTTTTTTTTTTTCAAAAAGCTCTTTTATGACTACTAATCAAGTCACACATATGAGTTAATTACATAACACAGGTTTCTGAAATTTTCCTTCTTCAAATAATTTCAACCATACTTTGCCATTTGGAAATTCATAGTCCGTAATTGTATCTTCTTTCAATTTAGAACTATAACCTGGAGTGGTGGGAAGCATGTAATGGCCATTTTTTATGACAACAGGTGTTTCAAAATGCTCGTGAAGGTGTTCCACGTATTCTGTCATTCTAAAATATAAAGACTTTGGTAAATTCAAAGTGAATAAAATAAGTAATGAAAACAGTAAGTTTTATTATTTAAACTGTTTCACAAAATATTCAATAAAATTAATTCAATCAACTCTTTAAAACTATATTCAACAGATAAAATAAATTTATAAATTATATTAAGCCTTATTTTCAGAAGCGTCAAATAAGATATTTGTATACAAACTTTGTAAAGTATTCAATGATATCAATACAATTAACCCGTGTAATTAAGGTTTTATAAACTTATAAGGTATTTCTCCCGTCTTCTTAACATGGCTTCGTAGTGTAATGGTCTGCACGCTGGGCACAAGCCAAAAGATATATAAACCCTGCTGGTCCGCAGTCAGTTAGTGTGCGTCTCTCATCGAGTGAGTGTGTCTCGTCTGGCGAGTCAATCCCTGCGGAGACGATCGAGTTGACAGCCGGGCAGCGAGTGCCGAGTGTGTACGACACACTCGGCACTCGCTGCCCGGATTACGAAATAGTAATCCGGATATTAAACTATTACGAAATAGTCTCCTAGTGTATCGCGGTTAGTGCATCGGCGAAAGAGCGTGTTGAGCTCCTTGAACGACTGAACCGAAGAGTCGCGAGCTGTGTTTTGGGTGTCGTCGAGTGCATCGCGAGTTTTAGCGTGGAGATTCTCGAGAGTACGTGATGTTCCGAGAACGACCAAGCAGAGCCGGGAGCTGTACTCTAGTGATTTGCGGTGAAGCTGTCTCCACCGTGATAGCCTGATAACCTGGAGGCTGTGTCGCTGATCGTGTCAGCGTGTTTATAGTAGTTCATCGACGACTGTAAAAACGTGTTTTACTGTCCAATAAAGTGTGTTTCGATACTTCATTAAGTAGTATTGTCATTATTCACTCCAAATCCTCACGAACCCGGTACGAACGTGAAGGAAGAAAATAACGTTATCAGTATTCTGAAAAGCAGTCTGGTTAATGAAAGAATATTAAAACCGCAGAATAATTCCAAGAAACCGACAATGTGTGTGTGTGAGTATGACAAAGCCTCGAGGGCTATCTGCCTAAGAGGAGGGATGCCTTCGTGGAGGACTTTCTAAGGGAAACTGGCTCGTATACACGTTACACATGGGGAAAACCACGAAAACGCCCATGCAGCCAGCCCGTTCGCGGGATTCGAACCTCACCCGAACTACCAGTGTTCAGCGACTTTACCGCTCGGCCGCTGGTGGGCGAAACCAACAATGAATACTGATTCAGAAGTCAAACAACAAAAATCAGCGTTAATTCACAAAATTTTGTGAATTAACGCTGATTTTTGTTGTTTGACTTCTGAATCAGTATTTATTCGGCGTGTTATTGTGTCTCAACAATGAATACTTTCAAATATAATTTAGCACTTTCTTTTCGAGTACCTCCTAATGTAAGATTTACAGTCACTTGAATATTCGATTAGACTGTTCCTGTAACCGCTAAAGGGCCATGAAGCATACAGAAAAGGTACACTCTTCAAAAAAAATTACACATTTCTATATCTCCCATTCTATTGGGCCGATTAACGAAATTTAACTTGCGTTTTTCATGTTTCAAAAGCGGGACATAAAATATATATTACATATAGCGTTGTCTAACATAGGTATTCTGACACGAAATCTGATTTTTTCTGAAATGACATATAGGCTTTCTTCCACATTTCGATTCTAAGACTGCCCAAATCTTACATTTTATAAATTTTGGTGAGAAACTTATCGAGAAATTTAAAACTTTATCTTAAGCGCGCGCCCCCTCCCTTTTTTTTTTTTTTTTTTTTTTTTTTTTTTTTGAGTTTGCGCCAAGAAAAATTCACTTGACGAAATTAATTTATAGTAACCTATTTTCATACCTTTTTATTTTGCACGAGCGGAAAAAGGTGCATCGTTCATTTTTTAATAATTTTAACAAAGCGCATAAAGCAGATTTGGGAGTCATTATCGTTTATAACAAATATGCCAAATTTCAAAACGCGTCAATACGTAATATCGGGCATATCTTGAGAAATTTTTAACAGAAAACTCTATTTTTTTTTTTTTTGCAGGTATGTCTAGAAATATATCTTAATTTAAGGTGATGCTAAAAATTTTATAATTCAAAAATCGTTTTAGAAGACTTACAAAAATTACTAAAAAGTACAAATTTTAAAAATAAATCAGAAAGTATCTACACATTTTATTTGGATTAAACCTTGGTCCTAAGTCTCACGTTTAAGACATGGAAAACGAAGTTAAATTTCGTCAATCGACTCAGTAGAATGGGAGATATAGAACTGCCCCCTTTTTTGTGTAAGGTGTACACCTTACCACTGGGAAAGAAGTACAGATGATTAATTTAAACTTAGTACATTAGCAAAATAATAAAGTAATATTTCGAATATGCCGTACTTACTTTAATTTATAATTAAACTATTACGTATATAAAAAGGAGAAAACCATATTAAGTCAAATAATTTCTGGTATTTCTCTAAGATATCCGAAACTGAGAAAATTCCATGACAAGCCATTTGTGTTGTATGAACAAAACCTAAGATACTCTTCACAGCGACAATCGATTGGAGTTAAAAATGGAATTGAGAATTCGAAAGCTCTTATGGCCTTAAGGTAAAAGGAGGTTATGATGAAATCTATGTTAGCTTTCGAATTATACTTACATTTCTTTTATTGTTATGTTTACTTTCCACTGTTGCAAAATGGACTTACTTTACAACAATGTATGTCCAACAAAAAATATAGCAGATGCTTTCTGAAGTGTATTTCGCAATTATCCAATGTATTTTAATAAAGGTTTTTGACAAAATAACAGAAAGATTGCAAAGCAAATATTTTAAAACGAGAGTTTTCTGCACTACCTCCCCATAGCAAAAACAAAATATCTATTAAAAAAAGCAGCCTGAGTATTCAAGAAGAGCTTTTTATCTTCTTTGTAGTCACTTTTTATCCCTGTTACTCAAAGCCTAAACAATAACTTTACAAACATTGGCATTTAAATAGAATATGAAGATCTTACCTGAAATACTGAAAAGAATTTTTTGTGTTGGTGGTTACGCTGTGATAAGTTACGATAGAAACAAATAAGAAAACTTTCTGCTAGACTGAATCTTTCCTCTCATCAGATTTGTTGACTCTTAAGTGAAACTCACGTATTTTCAAGTGCTACAAAAACAAATGTATTTCCATATTCTTAGATGCCATTTCCTGCTCTTCGGAAATGCTTCTAAAATTCACTACTGCTGTTATCTTGAAATGAGTCATGTCAAGTTCGAACATTGCGTGCAATTTTGAGTTATTAACTAATAATTTTAATGAAAAGTATGAAATTAAATGGAATAGAGATATTATATATAAAAAACAAACCATTAAAAATCTCAACATAAATATTTTCGATGCAAATGAAATACAAATTCAAGCGCTAGTTTTGCAAATCCACATAAAGGAATTTAAAATGCCTAATTCGACTTGAACAAGTTATCAAACGACTGAACGTCAACGTCTGGCTTGAATAATCATCACTCAGTTGAATGTCTAAATATTCCTTGAGCCAATAATTCCAGCTTAAAAAAAAAAAAAAAATTACCTAAACTGTGATAGATTTTTCCGCGTGATGTATTTAGTAAAAAAGTACAAAACTTTCATTTTTATACAATACCATTCGAATAAAAATTCCAACTGCAGAATTGTTCTTTATCCTGTTGAATATCTTTACATATACGTTCTTTAGCCTGGTGTTAAAACATATTGGCAAAATTATGGTATCCGGACATAATCCCAAAAACCGAAATCCCGACAAGCCAGAATCCCGACAGACGGAATCCCGACAAGCCAAAATCCCGACAGGGTCGAAATCCCGACAAACCAAAATCCCGACAGGGTCGAAATCCCGACAAGCCAAAATCCCGACAGGGTCGAAATCCCGACAAGCCAAAATCCCAACAGGGTCGAAATCCCGATTGTCCAATATCCCGACAGGGTCAAAATACTGACACGGGCGAAATCCCAATAAGGCCTAATGGCCCCTTAACATACTTCCACAGCTGCAACTAGTATATGCTTTGATGACTAGCAAATCTGAAGAAAATTACAAAAGATTATTCCAAGATTTAATTGATTTCGCTGAAGAAAATAATATTGAACTGAGGCCATCTAGAATCATTAGTGATCTAGAAAAGGCAGCTATAAATGTTCCGCGCACTCAAAATGCTGTCGAGGATTGGCACAGAAGATGGGAGACCTTAACTGGACGGCCATGTTGGCGTTTATAACATCATAGAAGGATTTCAAAAAGAACAGGAGCATGTGGAATACTAAGTTGAATGCATTCTTCGCGGAGAACAACAACCAAAACGTAGGAAGGTAGATGATGACAGAGAAAGGAGAATTATGACTGTTGTGGACGATCGTGATAATCGACCTGTGATGGAATATCTTCGTGCTATCGCTCACAATGTGTCACTGTAAATATGTCGTTTGCATGTGTAAGTGATGTTTTCTTTTTCTTAATAAAAAGAATTTTATAAATCTTCATTTCAAATTTTAACGGTCATTTCAATTTGTTAAAAATTATTTTAAGTAATGACATAATTTTTATGATTTTTTGATTTAAACTTTTAATTAGTAATATGTAATAGGTTAGTTAAAAATTGTATTTTATTAAGCTAAATTGAGTGTTTGTATTTAGATATTAACTCTTCGGGATTTTGGACAGTCGGGAATTCGACCCTGTCGGGATTCTGGTCACTCGGGATTCTGACCCTGTCGGGATTCTGGCTTGTCGGGATTTTGACCCTGTCGGGATTTCGACCGTGTCGGGATTTTGGACTGTCGGGATTCCGACTGTCAGGATTCTGGCTTGTCGGGATTTCGGCTGTCGGGATTATGACCCAGACCCCAAAATTATATGATTTAAACCATTCGCTGGCAGTGAAAACATTTGTTTTAAGGAGTATATAAAATTGAATTACATCACATAAAAAAATTTTCGAAT